ACCCAGAAGACCAATATTGCCACATTCACATGTCCCCATATCTAGATTCTGTCATTTGATCTGTGATACTTTATCTGCAAACGTTCCCTTTGCCAACACCTCTAAATCATTTTCTTACGAATATTTCCTTACTTATTGTTAATTCTCTTTGCAGATGCCCTTATTATAGACAGGTTATAGTTCTAATCAATGGGATAAGTGGATAAGCAAAATAACATTATTATTATTAAGCTAAGAAAATGCACAAACATACTGTATATAAGATAGATATATCTCATCTAAGGCATATCAGCAGAAATATAATAACATGCAAGAAGAGATATATAGAATAACACTACTCAACCAGCAACAAGGTGCTTATAAATTGGAATCTGGAGGTGTGAAACAGAGGGAGATTTGACAAGTGCTAAGCACCTTCTAAGATAAGCAAGGCTGAGCCTGGCCAGTACTGGGGCAAGAAACCTGAAGTTGCTGGTTTCAGCGGTGTGGGTGGACCAGAATTCCCAAACCCCAGTGACTGGGGACACTGTACTGTAGGAGATTCTATCTTTTGAATGAGACTTAAAAAACAATGTCCTGACTATTTGGTCATGAAATATTCTACTGCAGTTCATGATCGTAGTGGATAAATTCCACACAGCTCTTGGACAGAAGCTTCCCCTTGATTCAGATGGTGAGGCACTTCCTCACTTTTCCACCTGTTCTGGGCAGCGGTTAGACAGCGCTGCACTTCAGCGGTGGGTGAGGTGAGGGTCTCTCCTGTATGTAAATGCTTGGGAGTCCCGCAGGATGTAAAACACTGCAAGAGGTAATGAATGAATAATTCTGGTCTAGGCATCATCAACACAGAGGCAGTGGGAGAAGCCGTGCAAGCAGGTTAGCGCACATGGGGAGTCTCATTGCAGTTACACTATCAAATACTATCATTCTGTCAAATGAAAATAACGATGCACATTTCATACTAGCTGTAATTTAAGGCTTTGAAATGTTTTATGCAACAGCATGTTGCCACGCTGAGCTCTGTAATTGCTGTGATCTGCCTAATGTAGATTCACAGAGAGGTTTGTACTGCTCACTCGCCACACTGAGAAATGACACACTTTGACTTTTGCACTGGATTGTTCTAGTGGTGTACACACACAGCCCTGGCTGCTGTCACAGCTTACAGTATTGCTGTGTTTAAAAGTTCCCTTGTAATTAATGAGGAAAATGTGCATAGAATGGTGGGTGAAATTTTCGAATCTAGAATGTACTCCCTTTGGTCAGTAGCTCCTCTCCAGAAGCACAATAAAGTACAGCAAAATCCTAATATCCTAAAATCCTACTCCATCGGGCCCCTGAGCAAGGCCCTTAACCCCAACTGCTCCAGAGGCGCTGTACAATGGCTGACCCTGCGCTCTGACCCCAAGCTTCTCTCTCCCTGTCTGTGTGTCTCATGGAGAGCAAGCTGGGGTATGCAAAAAGACGAATTCCTAATGCAAGAAATTGTATATAGCTAGTAAAGTGATCTCATCTTATCTTAACAATGTGGGGAGAGCTTTCTCAAACCATTGCACAGCCATAGAAATATGGAGTAGGAGCATGGGACGACACGGTTACTATGGTGTCTCTTCAAAGGGATTCATCACATCCCAGTGACTTCGTTTTAAACTTCAGTTCATCTCTCATGAAGTCATTTGAGAACTCTGCTTACTGCAGTGGGAGATTTTGAAAAGAGCTGCAGAGTGTAGCAGGATCCCCAGGAAGGGTCTGAGGAAGAGGAGAGACAGCACAGTAAACTTGGGATTTACTACTGTGATGTCCCCCGTGCAGGCCTGTGTACTGCGATCTTACTCCTCTACAGTAGATTGGAGCAGTGAAATGATTTCACACTATTATATCACACCTGAAGAAGGCTGATCAGCCAAAACATTGTGTTTATCCCTTCTGATTTTCAGCATGGAATTAACCATAACTTGTTAGTGTGCAGTAAACGCACACTGATGCTTGCTCCCCACTGAAAACAATTGAAATTATTTCTCCTGGTTATTGCGACACTTGCTGAAAAGTACGGGGACCTGCTAAGCAGAATTTGAGCAGCCTTCTTTTAGAAAGCGCGTGTCTCTGCCCCTGATTTTGAGTGCTGGGTGTTTTAAGCAGCCTGTCATTAGGTAGGGATTTCTTTAACTTGACGGAACATTTCCAGAGCACGACTGGGTGGGCAGAAGAGTCATCCCTTCATCCTGGGAGATATGAGCCCGAGACATAAAATAATTGCTTTCGATTGACATCTTAGGATTTTGAATAACAGCTGGATAGCAGGGCTCAGTCTTTCTTCTGTGTTTCTTACTTTTTATTTTGAGAACGGTAGCCGCAGAGCCACATGGCCTTGCAGATTTAAGAAAAATCAATATCATTTATATTAGTTTTTCCTCCAGTTGTCCCTCTTCCTTTAACTCACTAGAATCCTAAGGCATTTGATTTTCTCCAGGATTTATACAAAATGGTACAATTGTGGAGTTTCAAGAAGTGGTCACTGTGTCCCAGTGTGAGCACCTAAAGAACTTGTGTTAAAACTTGTGTATGAGTACATACAGTACTGTACCCAAGGCTACAGGCAACACAAATTGCTTGCAATTAAAGAAATAAATTCTTCTATTTGACTAATTAAGGTTTGTGAAAGCTAATCTCCAGTCTAGGCTAATTATAGTATTTCGATTTTAATTTAATCTAAATAATGCTTGTAAAATGAAGTCTTTGACAAGGAAACAGGCTTAGCAGAAGTAATTAGACGTGCTTCTGTATCACAGGTTCTGATTTCCTTTATGGTTTTTTGTGAGAAGGAGCAAGTCAATAATAATGGGTGTGCAGTTTATGTAAGAAATGGCATGACGCATAGTTTAAAATAAACCGAAGAATGGAAAAGTGAGATAAGATTTTAAGCACTATTTTAATTAGGAACAAGTAATAGGTTTATTCCATGCTGAAAAAAAGAAGAAAGAGAACACAACGTTTCGGCCGTGGAGCCTTCTTCAGGTGTCACACCTTCTTCACACCTGAAGAAGGCCCCACGGCCGAAACGTTTTGTTCTCTTTCTTCTTTTTTTCAGCATGGAATAAACCTATTACTTGTTCCTTTGCAGCCTACGCATGCTGACGCAGCTACCCACCTGGACTATTTTAATTATATTCTCATCCACCTCCCTCCTTTTTTAAGTTTCATCAGACATTTCACTTAGTGCAGTCCTGCAACTGCTACAACAGAGGTCAAACAAGGGGGAAACATGGGCATTAGTTTTATTGCTCTTATTTAACACAGAAAACATATACAGTAGCATACAAGGGTATTAATAAGGAAAAGTGAATAACTTAATACAGATTATAAACCATATAAACCATTATAACGTCAATCAAACATCATTTAAAGTTATAATTTTTCCAAAAGGCTGTTTGGAAAGCCTCCCCTTCATGGGCTGAAATGAGAGGGTTAATACTTTTCTCTAAGTCTCCAGTTATTATCTGCTTCACCGGAGCAGGCCTGGCAGTACGGGGCTCTGTCTCTCTGTTCAGCAGTGGGCAGTGGTGCATCCTGCTGAGAAACACCGTGGGCTCCCAGAGAGATCCAGCAACCTCTCGGGTGGCAATATCCCATCTGACATCTCCAGTACTTCACTTTCAGGTGGTTAAAAAAGTAAAAACAGCTGATGTGACAACCAAACTTTCTAGAAAAAGTCAAGCATTTTAGCATTCATTAGCATATAATAACATATAATAACATATAATAACAATTTCTACAATTTCATGCTTCACCAATTGTTAAAAAAAACAATTATGTGCTAATCGTAAGGATGTGAAAAGACAGCTAGAGATACCCAAGGGCTCAGACACTGAGAGAGCTGTGGAGGAGTGGAGAGGGAGAGGCAGTGGCAGCCCTATGGCAGAAGCAGAGAGAAAGATATCTCCTTTCCTCCACAAAGCTGACTCTCTCACATCTGATCTACGTCAGGATGGTGTAGCGTTTCAGTGAGTCTTACAGTGTTATTACAGGTGCATCATGCCCTCCATTACCTCCTCTTGTGAATGGCCACGTAATCAATGTTTTCTTTATTTTCAAAAACCATAAGAAAGGTCACAGTTAAGAGGCAGGCATTCAGCCTGTCTGGTGCACCTGGCAGTGAGTAACTCGTCCGATTGTTTCTTGAAGGAAGCCAGGGTATCAGCTTCAACAACATGGCTGGACACCTTCTTCCAGACTCCCACCAGCCTTTGTGTAAAGTCCCCTGTCCTGTTTAGTGGATTTCATCCAGCTGTGTAAATGTGCCTGTATATGTGACGTTAAAATGCCTTTCTGAGCTGAAGGTCTTGCTCTCTGAAGCAGCTGATGTGCACAGTATAAATCATATTCAGTACCATGCAGGGGCGGAGCAGTGGCTCTGTGGCTAAGGATCTGCGCCTATGGCTGGAAGGTTGCTGGTTCAAATCCCGCAGCCGGCAGAGGAATCCTACTCCGTTGGGCTGCTGAGCAAGGCCCTTAACCCCAACTGCTCTAGGGGCGCTGTACAATGGCTGGCCCTGCGCTCTGACCCCAAGCTTCTCTCTCCCCGTCTGTGTGTCTCATGGAGAGAAAGCTGGGGTATGTGAAAAGATGAATTCCTTATGCAAGAAATTGTATAGCGCTAATAATTGCAGTTCTCAACAGATCGTGAGTGAAGAAAGACAAAGGAGAGCACCTTCTGCTGGTTTACTGAGTACAGAAAATAGCTCAGGCATTTTTCTCATAGGTCTGGTGAACCAGAGTGAAGATCCGTATTGGAACTTCTGCAAAATGAATGGAAAGCATACAGCTAAAAATGAAACACGGTGCTGACTGGTGTTTGGGTTTCACCTTAATGCACCTGGTGCACCTACAGTATAGTGCACAACTACGCAGTGGGCGTATCTTCTATCAGTGCGTCTAGTGATGTGCAGCATGTGTGACTTTGTGGTGCCTGCAGGTGAGGACTCTTCTCCCTCCTCGTACAGGCGAGCAGATGGAGACATGAGGAAGACTCCGAAGAGCAGGAGCAGAGCTGGAATGCTCCCAGAAGCCCTGACTGGACTGCTGCTGCTCTTGTGGGTAAGCACTCAGAGGCTGATGACGGGCACCAGACTTACTCTGGTCAAACACCTCAGCAAAAGCTCAGCTCTGCTGCTGAGCTCAGGATTAACCTAAAGCGTAGAGGCTCATTCTTATTCTGCTACATTGTTTTTTTTTTAATTAATTAATTATACACAACAGCTATTTTTCCCCTGTTCTTTGTGATTAATTTTAATGAAGCCAAAATGTATGAGCCTCAAGCATGTTTTTCACATACAAGGATCAGGAAAATTCTTACCAGTGTGGATCTGTCCAGAATGGCCGTTAGTGAAGGGTTCTCAGTGGCTCTCAACTGGTTACAGAGGGTGGCGTCAAGCCCCTGGAGCTGAATTCGGCTACGGCAGGATACCCGGTCTTTTGATGTGGCAGAGTTCTCCTCTGTCTGGGGACAGGCCCTGTGTGGTTCTGTCACCGGAGATGCCCACGAACAGCTGCCATCGAGCGTCTCGCAAAAGAGCTGAGCTTGCCAAACAGACTTCAGACAAATTAAATGAAAAAACAGTCTTGAGGCCAGAATGGTTTTTTATTTTGTTAGGGAGCTTACATTTGAATATGTGCCACCCTGTGGTCTGGGTGGGTCTTAATGCCTCAGTATAGTGATGGGGATTCTATATTGTAAAAGGGCACTGTCCCTTGGATAAGAGGTAAAACTGAAGTCCTGATTCTCTGTGGTCATTAAAAATCCCAAGAAGTCTCTCAAAAAGAGCAAGGGTGTTACCTCTGGGATATGCCTCCTAATAATCCTCATCTATGAATTACCTTCATCACTCTGTTCTCCTCCCCACTGAGAGCTGGTGTGTGGGGAGCGTTCTGGCGCACTATGGCTGCCGGCGCATCATCCAGGTGGGGCTGCACACTGGTGGTGGTGGAGGGGAGTCCCCATTACCTGTAAAGCACTTTGAGAGGAGTGTCCAGAAAACAGCTACATAAGTGTCAGGAATTATTATTATTATTAGTCTAGGGCTGTATGTCTTTGGTTTTCTTAGAGCTCTGCATGTCAATGCCTTCCAGTTTCAGGCTGTGCTGGGTAGGGTCTTGGAAGAGACCTACCAGAAGTGGCTGAAATATCAGGAGGACTGTGTGAAGCAGATGGAGAGCGAGCCCTACCCTTCCGGTAAGTGGGACTCGAATATCGTCATCGTTTTATAGTAGAAAAAGAAAACAGTTGTTTTTCCCCTGATGTCCCCACTCCCGACTTTGGAAGCTCTTCCTGGGCCCCCACCGCCCTCGTCCTGGCCAAAAGCCAATGGAAAGGCCTGGAATCTGTTTTGCCAATACAGGCTACCCACTGGTCTCATTGATCTGCCTGACTTGTCCTTTCAGGTATTTACTGCAACAGGACCTTTGACATGTATGCCTGCTGGCCAGACGGCCTTCCAGGGAGCCTTGTTAATGTGTCCTGCCCATCCTACCTGCCCTGGTTTGAGAAAGGTGAGGGCGTCAGTACTCCACATTGCCTTCACTACCCTTCAACTCGGGGCCAGTAACCCCCCCCCCAGCGCTGACAGTGTCTGTGTCCCTCAGTGAGGCTGGGCGTGGTGCGGCGGCGCTGCGGTCCTGAAGGGCAGTGGGTCAGCCAGGACGGCGGGCAGCCCTGGAGGGACGACTCTCAGTGCGAGGACGAGAAGGAAGTCACGTCTGAAGAGGTAGCTGCGCGGCACTAGGCTGGAGACAGGGCAGCCTGACCCATGTCTAGCATCTTTCCTGTGCTCCTCCTTCTGATTTCCTGTGGTTACCTTGTTTTCTGCCTGTTACTAACGTGGTCTATGAGAATAATGGGGTCTACTGTTCTGTTGTCTTGTAAGAGTTCTGCATTACTACGCTTAGCTGGGAAAATCCCAATCTTGCCCTGATCTGATGTATCAAAGCAGTGAAAAAGCAAGAGCATGGGAGAGCATGGTGAAGGCAAGGGGAAACCAGCAAAACGAGAAGGAAATCCAAATTGTAAAATTGTAGTAATAATAATAATAATTGCTTACACTTATATAGCGCTTTTCTGGACACTCCACTCAAAGCGCTTTACAGGCAATGGGGACTCCCCTCCTCCACCACCACCAGTGTGCAGCCCCATCTGGATGATGCAACGGCAGCCATAGTGCGCCAGTACACTCACCACACACCAGCTCTCAGTGGGGAGGAGAACAGAGTAATGAAGCCAATTCAGAGATGGGGATTATTAGGAGGCCGTGATTGGTAATGGCCAATGGGAAATTTGGCCAGGATGCTGGGGTAACACCCCTACTCTTTTCGAGAAACGCCCTGGGATTTTTAATGACCACAGAGAGTCAGGACCTCGGTTTTACGTCTCATCCGAAAGTCGGTGCCTGTTTTACAGTATAGTGTCCCTGTCACTATACTGGGGCATTAGGACCCACATGGACCGCAGGGTGAGCGCCCCCTGATCCCATTATCAAAATTTTAATGAAATGGGATCCATTGGTGATGGTGAGCGAGCAGGAATGTGCCCACAGTTCTCATGTCTCCATTAGCTGAGCTAGCCCTGCAGAATAATGATTTCCCAAACAAATTTCCCCTAGGGGACAGTAAAGCTTGAATTGAATTGAATTAAATTGATGTCCTTCACTCGGAAGATAGAAACATCGGGAACGAAGGAAGCAAAACCTCCTGTTTAGTTCTGTTTACTGCTCTGGGTCTGAGGCTCTGTGTGTTTGCAGGTCTGGTACAAGCAGCTGATGGTGAGCTTCAAAGTCCTCTACACTGTGGGCTACTCCCTGTCTCTCTTCACTCTCATCTCCGCCCTTGTCATCCTGCTGGGCTTCAGGTAATCTGGGCTGGGCCCCGTGAGCTCCCTGCGTCTCCTCTGTCCTTCCTGCTCCTGCAGGATTTCTTCCTGCCTGTCCTTGACCCGCAGTGGTTTTCAGTTACTTACCTGCTGAGCAGGCACCCTAATTCAGACTGACAGTGCTTGTGAAGTTCTGCATTAGAGAGAGGTATGCTTGCAGGTGAAAGTAACATACAGTTTCAACAAAAGAGGAGGATGGTGATGCTAGAGAAGAAAGTGCATTGCAAAAGGTGTGAATAAAGAAGAGAAAATAAATACCGACATTAAGATTGTGAGTTGATTACAGAAGAGTAATGTAGAACCTTCCTTGTTAAGTGTTCCATGTGTCCAGTGAATAACAGCAAGAAATGAGCAACGTTCTCTCTTTCAGAAGTTATTTTTAAACATACACATACACAAAATAAAGTTTTTTTACTATTACTAGTTGCAGCAGATTTGTGCAATGACACAAGAACATGATAAAGTTTACAAACAGGAGGGGGCCAACCAGCCCATCAGACCCACTGGGCTCTGAGTACTTAATTGATCTGAGGATCTCACCCAGCTCTTTCTTGAAGGAAGCCCTTTGAAGTAAAGCGTGTCAAGGAGGGAAGTTAAATATAGATGCAGTTCAATGTGGGCTGCAAATGTAAGCAAATGCAGTGGCTTGGCCTTACAGCTGTGTGCTTTGTTTTTTTTAATTGCAAGGCCCTTGGCATCCTGTGACCCTCACCAGGATAAAGGGCTCACCAATGAGGGATGGACGGAGTTTTGTGAGGACTTAACAGCATCTGTCCATTTTCTTACCCTTTCCGCACGGGCAAATCTGTCCCAAGAAACAGCTGAAATTGCCTCAGTTTAAATACAGAAAAATAACCCCCACTTCCTCCTTCCCCACATTAAATGCTGCATTCTTTATCAGCTTTAACTGGGCTTTAAACCTCGACTTCAGACAGCTGACACGCTTCTGACCTTGCTGGAGATTACTTTGGGCTTCTTAGTTCTGCTTTGTGTTTTCCTGCACTCCCGCTGGCCAGAAATTAAAACTGAACTTTGTGATGCCAAGGCGCACAGCACGTTCGCAAAAACATTCTAACCTTCCGCTTAGAGCGAATTGTCCAAATTCAGCGACTCATTGCCTGGAGTCGCTCAACACTGCACAGCCAATTTGCCTGCACAGCGAATAAGCAGTGGATATGATGTACTGCCATCTTTCCAGGCACTTCGGTCAGTCCCGTTGAAGTTATTTTCATTCTATTGAGAAACAGTGTTTCAACTCACATGAAAGCTGACGGTGGTGGGCAAGCATATGCAAATACTAGTGCCAGATTGCTACAGTAAAGTGAGGAAAAGACAGTTTTTGCATAATTAACTAAGTCACAGAGCTACAGAACACAGAAGTTTGTTCTTAATTGGCCACGGTCTAGTGGGTTTCACAGCTACCTAAATTGTTAACTGTTGCAACTGTTTAAGGAAACACAGAATTCAGGTGTTCCAATAGCCATCTTAGGCAGCCTTCTTTTATTAAGTTTAACACCCATATACACATGATCCAAATATTTTGGATCCCAAATTTTTGTCTAACAGTGGTTTTATGTGCTTGGTTGATTCACTTTCCTGCAGTAAATGAGCAAGACTTGGCCCAACTCGTCATGGAAGCCGAGTCTGTAGAAAAGATGGCAGACCCAGACTGTGTGCTGTTATTGTTCTTCAGTGGCGCAAGACTGATGCCCAAGTCTCCTTTCTCAACGTAGCTGTAAAGTTGAGATGAACCCGGCTGCGTTTCTCTCTCAGGCTTTGCTCTGTCCCTGTGCGGGCTGTGTGCGATGTTTCTCCCATCCTGAATTGTAACTCATGGCTATAAGAGTGAAAGCACAGTATAGTGTAGTAAAGCAAAGCGAAATCAAGTTAAGCCTGGAGAAACATGGTCACCCATATGTCCGCAAACCATAGGGGAAAAAATCACTGGAGATTGTGCAATTTGCTGTCCCTCTCTGATCTTTGTCAGGAAGCTGCACTGCACTCGGAACTACATCCATGCCAACCTGTTTGTGTCCTTCGTGCTGCGGGCAGTGTCCGTCATCGTGAAGGATGCCCTGCTGGAGCACCACTGGGGCCGGGAGATCACAATGGAGTCCGACCTGGGGGAGATCCTCAGTCACCAGGTCCTCCTGGATACTAGGCTCGCCGCCAACATGCAAGCTGCAACTTCACACACGCACACAAACACGCACGCACGCACGCACGCACGCACGCACACACACACACCATGCCGTGCCATGAGACGGACAACTGATCGGCTCCACTCACTTCTTTAAACATAATACTGGAACACCTCTTCGTTTTCCTCATGTACAGTACCACTCACCCGATTTATTCTTTAACACTTGGCGTGCAATTGATAAATAAACCTTGATTGTTTAATTGATTAACTGATTGGCTAATCCCCAGCCCTGTAAGTTCTCTTTCTCTTGTGTGCCGCTGGTTACTGATCAGGTAGTGACGTGATTCAGGTTGGGAACCGTAACATCTGCTCCACCAGTGCAACTAGTGACTGGGCTGTGTATTGCTCAGGGTTGGATTAATTAACAATAGTCTTACATCCTTACATATACATGCATTATACATATCACTACAGGCTGTTGGGGCACCAGATGTTTTTATTCCTCTTTATAGAAGTGTACTTTCCTTTCCTAGCACAGAAGACTTGGAGCACTTGAAGCAGGAAATTGGCCACTAAGGACTTTTCTCAAGTTCATTCCCGATTTTGTGTTGCGGCTTTTTAACTCGTCAACTGAAAGAGTTAAAAACCATCTTTATCCATTTTCCAGATTTGGTCTTCTAAAGTCTGGAAATTTGGTGGGAGGGAAAAAAAAAAGCTTTGCGAGAATGAGAAATGTAGGCTCACTGTTTTTCAGAGGGCACGGTGCACACCGTCTGCTTGACGCAACCTGCAAGCTCGGCAATTTGCATTTTCTGTAGACAAAAGGTTGAAGGGCTAAGTGAAAAGGAGGAGAGGAAGGTGAATCATTTCTAATTCCAGCAGCAAAGTCTGTAGAACACAGAAAGGATAGAGCCACCTCTGTAGTTGCATTTGTAAGTTGGAGTTTGGCTGACACAAATGAGCAGGTGGGGAAACAGCATACGCTGTAATAATCAGCATTTCTGACAATGGATTTTAATTTTTTTTTTATTGAAACGGGTCTTTTTCCCTGCCTGCAAAATTGTGTCCTCTGTTTTCATCAAAAGCGATGAACTATTATATCTAAATATTGGTGCACATGCTGTTCTGCAGTGACTGTAGCAGCCATTAAGAAAAGTACATGTGAGGAACCTAGTACTGGGCAGGATGACTACTGCTGCTGCAGGCCCCTGTACAGCTTGCAGTGGAGCTGAGGAGGGGGCTATTGTATGGTGACGGAAGCTTGGGAACTTGGGAAGCACATTTGCACTAAAAAGGAGTGTTCTGAACTTGACACCCACAAGCAAATCACGTGTGCGCAGTAGAAAAACACGAGCACTACAAAACCACTTACAGATCGACTTGTCCAGTCCCACTTAGCGGCTCCTTCATGGCTGTCAGGAAGGCCTTGACACCTAGCGCTCATTGTCTAAAAACAGGTCCCTTTTCCCCTGCTCAATTCCCCTGAAATGAATTGAGTAAATATGCATTTGTATCATCTGAAGGTGGGGGAAAAAAAATCCCTGATTTTGTTTTCCATGTCCTTGTCGGACGCAGCTGCTGCACTCACTGTCAAAAACGAGAAACGCCCCCAAAATCCCAGTTTCTCATGAGGTTATTTAACTTCTCCTAGAGTCCTGCAAGGGTTACATTTACAACATGAGGTAGAGGATCGCTGAGACCCCACGACAGTCCACTGGTCAGACTCAGACTCTTGATATCGGCCCTGCTGTTCCAATGAACTCCCTGTCATGCATTCTCATCATTGCCTCTCACACGCCTGTCTGAAAACCACTCTCTTCCTCCGAATGAATAGTTAGGCATAACAAACAGCAGAGCGAGGGCCGGGGGTCAGACAGGTCACCCTGGGGATCACTACAAGAAAAGAGATTAAGACATTAAATGCACCTCGCATGCTACTGTGTCGGCCTTTGACACAATTGGCTTTTTTTTTCTGCTTCAATCCTTAGGCGGCGATTGGCTGCAGGATTGCGCAGGTGGTGATGCAGTACTGCATTCTGGCCAATCACTACTGGTTCTTTGGGGAGGCGGTCTACCTCTACACGGTCCTGATCGGCTCCGTTTTCTCGGAGAAGAACAGCTGCACGGCCTATTTGTACCTCGGCTGGGGTAAAGCTCTCCCATGATGCTTTGGGTCACCCGGGGTGGCGGCGGATTGCAGAGGCTCGTTGGCACACTGCATAGCCGTCGCATAACAGCAAAGACAAGGATCCGCATTTAAATCGGAGAACAGGAGGCGCTTCGCTACACAAAGGGTTGTGGGGGTCTGGAACAGCCTGCCTAAAGGCTGGCACTCTTGTTGCTTTCAAGAAATGTCTGGATGAGATCCTGGGATCAATTAGCTACTAATTACCAAACAGGCTCGATTGGCCAAACAGCCTTCTCTCGTTTGTAACCTATGTTTGTTTGTTCCTATGCTCTCTGTTTCAATACTGAGAGTCTGAGCCTGTTCCCAAGGTAGCTTCCTACTCATTCAGAAATTCTCTGCTTACAAAAAATATTTTTTTCTTAGTAAGGTCATTGCTAGCAAGTTTATTTTCCTGGCTAGTAGAGAATTAGGGGCCTCTAAATTGCGGACTTTTAGATTAAAATGGAATCCAGGCTGCAGAACCCCTCAGGAGAGCAGGTTACAGGGCTCGGAACTGCACTCCATGAGGTCTTTCTGACTTTGAGAAATTGTTAGTGGGGGTGATTGTGTTCCATGGTGACTAGTTTGTACGCACAAATTGCATTT